CTGAGCCACTCTGCATATTAAACATTTGAAAAAAGAGCTCATGGATTTAACACAGCTGACGTGCAGCGTTTCACAGGATGAGATCTTTTGGAGCAGAGGAACGCTGGGAGCCATCTTTAATTTTAGCAGGAGAGCGCCATGATTACACGAGCTGTTTCAGTGTGCCGACATGATGTCAGGCTGATGCTCATTTGCTTTCAGCTGCGCTCTTCTGAAATGGCGTTTTTGGCTGATGGTACAGGTGTGTGTGTGTGAAAATGAGTCAGGTGTCCTTGGTTTGCAGCTCATAATTATAATAAAAGTAAAGTTGGTGTCCCAGGAGAGTGAATGAAATGTCTTCTAAAATGCAGCAGGCTTAAGGATCGCTGCCAGACTCCCAGCATCCTCTTTGGCCCCTCAGACTAACACAGATGGCGTCCCGGCTCCGGCCAACCACCTGTGAGGGGAAAGAGAACGACTGAGTGTCTGTCTTCTTGTTCAGCCTCATCGGGACATTTTTAATGTTCCAGGCAAGGTCGAGCAATCCCAAATAAGTGAGACGGTCTCAAGCTTCTAATGTCAGGGAGTGTGTTGTATATTAATGTGGTTAATGTTTCAGTCCTAATTACTTTCCATGTAATGAGCTTTTCCTTTTAAACACGCTCCTCTCTGATTTCATGCCTTGAAACACTCAGCTCGTTCTGTAACAGAGCTTTTATCTGAAGGTGAGTCAGGCTGTGTGATCCTAACTCACTCCAGAGGTGGTCAGGGGGCGCCATGGAGAACAAGTGGCTCTGCTCCACAGCTGGCTTTCCCTCTGTCAGGGGTTCATGAATGTTAGCCTTGGACCCCCCCCCCCCCCCCAGCAGCTTTTCTCTCCTCAAACGAGACGAATGAAGCATCCTTTATTTTATTTTTTCAGCAGCATCCACTGTGAACGCTTTTTAATTAAAAACGCCATTTTAATCATCTCAGGCGACGAGACGGAGGATGAAGCGATATCAATCCACACACACACACACACACACACACACACACACACACACACACACACAGAGTGCTGGACTAACTCGACTGGACGCTTCATTAGATGGAAGGTCGTTATTAATATTGAGGGCTGACACAGCGCCCAGAGAAGCCGGTGGATTAAACAGGAAGTGATGAGGAGGTAACGCTGAACGGACGCTAACTGAAGAGCGGTGAGATGTTTGAGCAACGAGCCGCGGTGTAAATGTGGATTTTATTTGTTTTCATTTTAAGACTTATATTTTTAGAATAAGGGTTTTGAGGGGGCGGCGGTGGCTCAGTGGGTGCTTTGCCCGCCCCATATGGAGGCTGTAGTCCTCGAAGTGGGCGGCGTTCGAGTCCAACCTGTGTCTCTCGCTCTCTGTCTCTCTCTCTCTCTCTCTCTCTCTCTGTCTCTCGCTCTCGCTCTCGCTCTCTCTCTGTCTCTCTCTCTCTCTCTCTCTCTCTCTCTGTCTCTATCTCGCTCTCGCTCTCTCTCTGTCTCTCTCTCTCTCTCTCTCTCTCTCTCTCTGTCTCTCTCTCTGTCTCTGTCTCTCTCTCTCTCTCTCTCTCTCTGTCTCTATCTCGCTCTCGCTCTCTCTCTGTCTCTCTCTCTCTCTCTCTCTGTCTCTCTCTCTGTCTCTGTCTCTGTCTCTCTCTCTCTCTCTCTCTCTGTCTCTATCTCGCTCTCGCTCTCTCTCTGTCTCTCTCTCTCTCTCTCTCTCTCTCTCTCTCTATCTGTCTCTCTCTCTGTCTCTCTCTGTCTCTCTCTCTCTCTCTCTCTCTCACTCTCTCTCTCTCTGTCTCTCTCTCTCTCTCTCTCTCTCTCTCTCTGTCTCTCTCTCTGTCTCTGTCTCTCTCTCTCTCTCTCTCTGTCTCTATCTCGCTCTCGCTCTCTCTCTGTCTCTCTCTCTCTCTCTCTCTCTCTCTCTCTATCTGTCTCTCTCTCTGTCTCTCTCTGTCTCTCTCTCTCTCTCTCTCTCTCTCTCTCTCTGTCTCTCTCTCTGTCTCTCTCTGTCTCTCTCTCTCTCTCTCTCTCTCTCTCTCTCTGACTGATGACGACAAAGGCATCGATAATGGAGGAGTTAACAGTCTGTCAGGGTCAGACGGCGTGTTTGACTCAGCAAGGATGTAAAGTTTGATGGCCACGGGCAGGATTGTGGCGTTCTGTGGTGCATTGTGGGGGAATCATGCTTACACTGAATGTGCTCATGTGACCAGTAGGAGTTGGAATATAGACGTGTGTGTGTGTGTGTGTGTGTGTGGTGACATGAAGGGTGAATCTGGTACTAAATATTCCGCGCTGCAGGAAAAGCAGTCTGTGGCCTTGTGGAGGTTTGTGAGCAGCGAGTTGTTTCAGGACATTCTGTGTTGTTTTGTTGGAGGGAACGGAGCGACCTCACAGCTGCATCATTAAAGACATATCGAAGCCGTTACCTCCAAAAGGTGTCGATACTCAAAATGTGCCCCGAACAAAATGGCTGCATATTGTGTGTGCATAATCGTACCCTGACACCGGACTGTAATAATGATATCAGTATAATGACTCTCATGACATAACTTGTAGAATACTTAAGAATGTGTAGTTCACTTTCCAGATTTTAATGTTTGTTTATAAAAATGTTTTTTAACAAATATAAAAGGTCGGTTTGATTATCTTTTGTGAGTGTGACTTCTGTTTTGTTTTTTTGTTTTGAAAGAAATTCTTGGAACAAATTTTGTTCTGATATGTTTTGTTTTTCTAGTAGTGTCTTAAGATTTGTAACGAGGGTAGGTGTAATGAGCTAAAGCTTCAGAGAACCTAGAGAAACAAACTCTGAATAAGTGATGCTTAAAGTTCAGCTTCCTCTGATGATCTGTCCTCTCTGTGTGAATTGATTAGCCGACCACTCGCTCCGATCTCTCCTCATGATCACAGAGTTCTGACAGAGGCCTCTCTCCTCCCACTCAGCCTGTTCTTCAATCACGGTCACAAGCTGCTCTCCATCGAGGCTGAGGGAAGAAGATACCAGATAAAGCATTTGAAGTGTGAAGGCTGAGGCTTGACCTAGTTTAAGTATGAGCCTTAAAGGAGCAGTATGTAACTCTGACCCCTCGTGTTTAAAATGGGTACTGCAGTCTAAATTCTAAGCATCATAGAGAGCTGTCTCTCCCCCCCCCCCCCCCCATCACTTCTATCTGAACCACTTCTCTTGACCGCTTCCATCGCTGCAACACCTGTTGACCTGATAACTGCTCTCATATCTGACAAACTGAGGGGCGTCCAAAACGGCCGTGTGGTGGAGGTGTCTTAAAAGCGCGCCTACCTTCTCTGGTCCAAACAAATCCAGAGCATTCAGGAGCAGAATGTAAAGTTAGAAGGAGGACATACTGGCTGCTGCATTGTTGTCAGAGAAGCCAGCACTTCAACATAGCATGTTTCCTTAATGATCAGATAGTAAGATACCTTTATCATCTCACTCTCTACACAGCTCACTGATTGGACCTTTAAGGAACAATGTGAATGCGGTCTTCCTTCCTGGCTACCGGTCCACTAATGGCCTTGGTTAGTAAAATAAAAAGTTTTTATTTTCTGACTCTTTTTGAAACTAGAAGTGTATAAATGTGGACGATCACCTTCTGCAGATGGGCTAACGGAACAATCAGTCCCCTGCTCGCTGAAACTCCCACGTGTGAAATATGAACACGGGGAAATGGCTACCCATAATGCACCAGCCATCTGTTCATTTATTAGTCTGGAACACCCAGCCTTTAGTCCAAAGCGTTAAAGTTCATTAATATTCATAAAAGATTCATAAGTGGAGTTTGGGGTATTAGTGTCAGAGACAGGATGGGAGGAGTCACACTAACTGAGGAGTGATGACTCTGCTATTAGCAGCAGTCAGAGTGAATGTATCACTCCACACAGCGCTGACATTCACACATGGTGACATTGGGCTCATTTTATACTTCTAGTGTAGTGGCTATTTGTCCAAAAAAAAAAAAAATCAAATGACCACCAATCAAATGACCACTGATGCATCATGGGGATGTGATGTACGCAGGCAAAGTAAGTCCAATGTCCATGCAAGAGATCTGCAGTCATTTGATTCTCTTTGATATTAGTTCGTTTAGATTTTTTTTTGTTTTTGGACAAATAGCCACTACATAAAGTAATAAATCCATAGGCCCACCCAGGTGCATGCTGGTCCTCTACCGGCCTCTGGTGCCCACAGTGTTACCCAAATACCTAACAAAAAAATACTAATGCAAAACTAAATTTACTAAACAAATAACTAGCAAAAATAAAATATTACCCAAAATCTATTCTAAAGAAAGAAAACATGTAGAATAATTAAATAAACAGCACCACCCAAACATTAGTAAACTAAATACCAAAACTAATTCTAACAATAATTAAATAGTTCCAACAGCTAGTATATGTTCTATAGTCACTCAGCTGTTGCATATATTCTGCTAATGGCTCCCATTTGATTTGATATCAACGTCTCCACCATTGTTTCTGTAAGCTAACAGTGACTCATAAACCAAAGGTATAATATTATAAGCGTCTGATCCAACACAACAGGGTCCTAAGTCTCTGACTAGACTCTGACTAGACTCCATGTGATCTGCAGAGTCCCTCTGCACCTTTAAGAAAAAGCTAAAGACCAGCTCTTTCATGAATACCTACTAACTTAATGATGATGGTCTCCATATTATTGATGATGATGATGGTAATGACGATGGTTTTTGTTTGATAACGATGACTTATAAGATGGTTTCTATACTGATTAGAGCTCTCAAGAACTGCCCTCAATGTTGTGCTTTGCCTCTGGTCACTTCCTGTCAGCACCTGTGTGTCCAATCAGACTCAAAGCTGATCGTTTGCTCTTACTCACATTGTTCCCTTTTTTCTAGATCCTTGCTCGTGTTGTTCTTACTCTCTGATGTACGTCGCTTTGGATAAAAGAGTCTGCTCAGTGAATTGTACAATCAGGACAGCACTGACCACCACACTCTTCTTTAATTTTCAGGTTGCCTGTTTGAAGACGAGCTCTGTACGACCTATGAGTTCTGCATCGACGGTAAGTCGAACTCTGAGAGTCACATACACCCCCACTACACTACCAAGCTTTCCATCCATCAGGGATTCTTAGAGAGATGGATCATTAATAGAGAGGTTACTGTGGTGGTGATTTGTGTTTCCATCTAGTTTAACGTCCTTTGACCTCCAGCTAATACCGTGCAGTGATTGTGACGTCGGCCATCAAAGGTTCAATATGTAAGAAACATATTTCTTGCATATATTTATTTTTCTGATTCTAGTGAAGTCAGTCCCCATTGGATATTTCCCCAAATGGCCTCATCTTCACACCTTGTTGTCTTTGGAGCGTGGATGTGACTATAAGTGGTTACCATAGCAACAGGTGACCTGATCATAAGAGAGGGGGAAATATCAGGTGTTGGGGGGGGGGTTCACAGCTTGACATTCAGAGTCAGCAGACAGCAGGGGGCTTTCATGTTGAAGGGGATTGATGGCATGTCCGTTGATGATTGAGGACCGTCTTCAGCGTGAAGTAAAGGTTAACGTATTCCTGAGAGGAAGCTTTCAAAAGGGGGTGGACCTTTAGTGCTCACATGTTCACAGGACAGATCCTGTCCCAGTCTGTTTGTTTACGGTCCCTGACTGATTGGTCAGATTTCTCTTAAAGTCGACAGACAGTTGAACGTTTTGTTGTTTTGTTTTTTTGCGCTCATTCATCCACATTATCGTCTGAGTTTAACCACATCATGTGTTATAACCATGTGTTCTATGACAGGACCTGCTCTTTCATGTAGTCCATGTGAACCTTACCGTCGGCCCAGATCGTCCTCCATGTTTGTTTTTCTTCTGAAGTCACGTTGGATCCCGCGTGTTTCTGTGAGATCTCGTGTAAATCACGACAAACAGACGGTGTGTGGATGACTCGTGTGTGCGTTCAGAAGGTTACGATGTTAGAAATCGGTTACGTCTGTCTTCATGTCTGTGGTCGCCCACGTTAAACATCGGTTAAGATTTGAAAATCTGATTTAATACAGACAGTAATAAAGTTGCAACATTTTGTAATTAAAGTTTTTTTATTTTTATTTTGTATTATTATATTTTACTTTTTCTCCCCCTTTATTTTATAAATGTGTATATGTGTTTGCATGTGTATATCCTTTTTTCTTTTTTAACTTAGAATTTATTTAATTGTAGTTGTGTGTCTGTTATGTTTAAAACTCAATAAACATTGTTTAAAAAAAAAGATTTGAAAATGGTCGGGTGTGGAGCCAGCTGGCTGCTGACTGTCACTCCATTTATACACAGTGACATCACTCTGATGATCAAACTGTGGAGCCAGTTTAGTGAAGGGGGGGGGGATGATCTTTGGAAGCTCAGCTCATATTGACGATTTCTATTTTAACCCTTTAAAGGAGGAAAACTGTGAAGATAAAAAACTAGCTTTGATTACACGGTCGGCTCCGGTTCACAGGGAGCTGTGTGAAGGGAAATCGCTGACACCTCAGCAGAATAAACCCCTCCGGTGGCTGAAAGCTGAGAGGAGGGTCGTGGTGGGTTTCATATTACATTAGGTTCTAACACAAAGCAGCGATGCAGATGGTCATTTCTTTTTAGAATTTATGTTTTTCTTCCATCTTCTCATCTTCTCTCATCACACTTTGGCCCCGGGAGCAGCAGCAGCTCACATCATCCCTCTCACCCTGAAATGTAATTACAGTCGCTCCGCTTCATAAAGGAAGGATATATAAAGCATAAAGAAGGAGCCTAATGTCTGGTTAATGTTGTACATAATATGCAGGTAATGAGACATTATTTAGCTGCTTCATAAACCCTCATCAACACATATTCAATGTGCTACACCCGGCTCTCTGTGGGACTCGTGATGAGCAAGAGAAGGAGTAAGTAGGTCTGCCACTTCAACTCTTCCCCGGGTCCCTGAAGGAGTAACCTGGTTTATTCTGGGCCTGGCCAACCATGCTCTTCCTCACCCGGGCTGTTGCCATGCGAGGTGGCTGAGGAGAGGGAAGGGTTGTGAGGAACTCTTTGTGGTGTCAATCTGCACCATCTCATCTGTCGTTGACTGTACTTTACAGAGAACAGGAAAACCAAATCCAAAGTATTTTCTTTAAACAGGATTTAAAATCAATACAGGGTTTCCTTTTTTAAATCACAAGGTGTGTTAAGACGTGTTGCTGAAGTGCAAAATCCTGCAGTTCCTGGAGTGTCCACTAGAGGCTGGCTGCAGAAGCACAGGAAGTCACATACACACCCATTCTAAAAAGCCTGTTTTTACAGCAGAGATGAACATGTTTACAGCCTGGTTTAAAAAACCAAATAGGTGTGATTAGCTCATGTCTGGATGGACACACACTGTACGGGGGGTGAATGTTTTGATGACTCATCAGTTTTGATTTGATGAAGGATAAGAGTTATTCACAATAAGGCGTGTAGCTGACCTGATTGACAGGTGGGCGCGGTGTAACGGTTTGTCAGGAGGTTTAAAACCCGCCTCAGCTCCAGCTCTCAGCCTGTCGTTAGGTTGACTGAAAGTTAGACTGAGACAGCATTTCCAGCATGGAGACCGCCATCGAGGGGACTCCAGCGCCCCCTGCACTGAATTATATCCACTGCTAAACTCACCTGCTGCGCTGTCATTGGCTGGAGGAAACACACCAGCTCCGCCCAGAAACGTCCCAAGTCAACCAAAAAACAAAAAACATGAAAATCAGAGGACAGAGTCTCTGCAGACACAGTCACCACCACATATGTACGGCGGCCCAGAAGGGACAATGGAGTAGCTTCACTTTAAGATAAATATGTATTTTATTTTGAAGGAGACAGGATGCTGACATCACGTCTGACACCGACATCTTTAAATCTTCTGTCTTTCCTCGTTTTACAAACCTTAACAATCCTCGAGGGGAGACTCCACGTTGTTATTGAGGGACACTCTTCTCTCTCACACACACACACACACACACACACACACACACACACAGGCCTACACACATCTTTAGGGGATTACTTTATTAGATGTTTACCTCCAGACAGGAAGTGCATCTTAATGTGATGCAGCTCTCTAGAGTCTGTGGCTAACAGCTGTGAACCGCTAAGCTAAAGTACAGCACATAAGTGCTACATGTGTCCCTGAGGGGAACCAGTCAGCTCCTATTAAACACTAACCTGACAGGCGTCATCGATTGGTGGTCATCCCGCCTCCACTTGGGCCAATCCGGTCTGACTCGTCCATGCTGGATCTCGTAGATTAAATTGATTTAGGTAATGCTTTTATTGATCCAAGATGGCGACGAGTTCAACTGAAACACACTTTAAATAACATCCTTTAAATCTATAAAACCAAATAAAAGTTCATGAGAATAATTCAAGATGAAGTTAGAAACAGAACGAAGGAACCGACTTGTTGACCTCAGGAGAGGAGAGCTCAGTGAACTCTGTTTATAAAGACGATGTGAGCTAAAGGTATCTTACTATCTGATCATTAAGGAAACATGCTATGTTGAAGTGCTGGCTTCTCTGACAACAATGCAGCAGCCAGTATGTCCTCCTTCTAACTTTAGATTCTGCTCCTGAATGCTCTGGATTTGTTTGGACCAGAGAAGGTAGGGGCTTTTAAGACACCCCCACACGGCCGTTTTGGACACCCCTCAGTTTGTCAGATATGCAGCGCCAACATGTAGAAATGAGGAGTTACACATGATGATGATGATGATGATGTGTCAACAGGGTCGGCAGTCTCGTCTCTTTAGAGAGTAAAGGAGGTCAGCTGACTTGAACTCAAGTCAGGAAAATGACCAAATTGAACAATAAGTGAGATGTTCTGATGAGGTATGTTAAAAATGTAACATGAAGATTAATGGACAACACAGCTGATTTTATTTTTATTTATTTATTATTTTATTTTATTTATTTTATTGCACTTAAAAAGCAAAAAAACCAAAAACCATAATAGATGAATGGAAAAACAGACAGTACATAATGATTAGTTAATTAACAAAATATACGGTTTGAAAGAAATGTGCTGGAGGAGCCACATAAACCCAGAGGGGCTCGTCGAGTGGCCCTCCTAAAGAGAAACATATTATTAATGTAGTCAGTGTGTTGAGAACGAGGCTTCTCCTCGTTTAAATCCCTCATTAAAGACAGACGGGAATAATCCAGAAACACCTCGTCCATGATTTCCTGATCTCTTTTTTTTTGTCCGCTCATTGATTTCAGCTTGTTCCCGTGTTGCACCTGCTCGGTACGGTTCCTCCTCCGTCTCTTTAAAGAAATGCTTTGCAGACTGTCAGCTTCAGTGTTTGCTCCTGTTATCCCCGAGCGTAAGCCTTCACACTTTAAATAGCTCGAGCAGCTGCAGGGCGTCGCTCCGTCTGTCGCTGTGGGACGAGAGACGAGTCTGGATTTACGCCTCTTTACCTTTTTTTCTTTTTCTTTGTGGGGATGCAGATCAGATCGCCTTTATGTTGTTCATGTGTTATTGATTGTATTGATCAGACAGAAATAGTGTTGTCTCAAAGGAGAACAAACTGATCAGTTGTCAGCTTCTTATTTCCTGACACAGATGATCGTTTGAATTGTTGCTTTCTGCTTCCTGTCCGTTTGTCAGAAGCTGCAGCGGTCTGGTGTGTGTGCAGTAAACTGAAGACACTTCCTGTCCTTACCTTGGGTTTATCACCTGGTTTGGTGGTTGCAACGAAGCTGCAACCACCGGTGTTGAAACATGAAGCCGATGCTGAAGTGTAAGCTCCTGCAGTTCCTGGAGTGTCCACTAGAGGCTGGCTGCAGAAGCACAGGAAGTCACATACACACCCATTCTAAAACATGTTTACAGCCTGGTTCAAATCAGCTGCCGGTCTCACCTGATCCAGATGGATTCTGTTTGTCCCGTCTGTGTCGCGTCACGGCTCAGAGGTCGGCCCAGACGATCAGTCAGTGTGTGTTTTGTGTGTTTTGTGTTTGTTTGTGTAGTTGCTATCGGTAATGTCCCTGACAACACACAAGGAAACGACATGTCTAACAGTGCCCGTTGCCATGGAAACGAGTGAGCACACACACACATGCACACAGGATGCATTTCTCTCTACAGCTGACACGAGGTGGACACACAGGTCATTTCTATTCCGGGTGCCACGTCTCCACGCGGCGTCCTGACCCCCCCCCCCCCCCAGAGTTTCTGCATCTTTCTGAGGTCTAGACCGGCCTGTTGAATTGTGCGGCGGATAAGGACTCTGTGGCGTGTGTTGCCTGGCAACCTGTAGTGAGTGAGCCAATAGGGAGATCACCAGGGTCCCTCTCTGCCTGCTTATCACCGTGCTGTCACAGGAAGAATCTCAGCTGTTAGATCCTCTGAGCGGAGACCTACAGGTTCAACCTCCACATCTTTGTGATGACTCAACAATCAGTCCTGAGTGATTCCTCATGTCTATCAGAGAATGTCTTATAGCTGATGGACTCCAGAAGTTTTATCTTCTACCTCCCTAAAAACAGACAGAGGACTTCTGGATCATGTTATTAAATACAGACTGCTGTGTTGGATCTAAATACTCAAACCTCTCATCCTGATGTTTGTTTTCTTTCAGATGGAGTGTTTGGAAGATGCCAGCAGCTCGCCCATGCAGACCTCAACACATACGATATTTCTCCGTCTGCTCTGCAGCGCCTCAGGATCCTGCTGCAGAAACTGGCTCACAGAGGTACACCCCCCCCCCCCCCCCCCGCTCATCTGTCTGTCTCTTTGTCCCCGTGTCCTTTTCTTTCTTAGTCAGAGCTCGCTGCGAATGCTCGCCGCTGCCTTAGTGTGAGACAGGTCAAATAAGCCGAGCTGTCTCTTTGGCTCCGCCCAACAGGTCGTTTGTTTCTTCATCATGGCTGAACTCCAGCAGCCTTGGTTTGTTTGCCGGTCGGACATTTAGAGCTAATTTTTGTGGATGAATAGCTGCGAGGTGTGCAGCAGAGTAATCATCATTAGAAAGTCTCTCAGCTGGTGAAGTGTCTGTAACATCGCTCACATCTAACACTAACGTGTCCCTAGTCCGTCTCTAACAGGTAGCTCGCCTACAGGTTGACCGACTGTGTTCAAAAATAATAATAATCTGACGTCAGTAAATGCACCTCTTCCCACTATTCATATATTTAGTCCATACAAACAAGTGTAAGTAGTGATGTTTTCTTGGACCTTGATGTGAATTGAAGAGGATTGATGAGCTTTGGCTTCAGTCAGCTGATGTGTGCTGTGTAGATAAATAGCTCTTGGCCACTTTAATTTTTTCAAAGTAGCTCTCAGATGAAGAAAGGTTGGAGACACCCTGGTCTACAATGATGAGAAAAGTCAGCCCCCCCTCCCTGCAGAAGTCTCCTCCTCTAAGTTATTATTTAGAAATCATGGACCAGAAATAAAGAGTTGCCATGGTGATAACTGAAGCCGGTGTGTTTCCTTGGAGTGTGTGTGTTTGTATGGTCTCCATGCATTTAGCAGCCTGTAACTGCAGCCATAACCCACCAGGGGGCAGTAGTCACCTTCACTCCTGACCGTGACCACGCACACTCAAAACCCTCCAATCACAATCAGCCTTACAGACCACCCTGAGCTTAACATCTTTAAACAGGCGTGAAGCAGTGTGGAAAATCATTAAGAGGAAACAGTCGGCCAGAGGAAATCTGTGTTGTGTGTTTTTTTTTCTTTTTTTAAAATGCAGTGATGAATATTAAGCAAAGCGAGACCACACATTTATTCTAATTACCGCTTTGAAAGAAAACAAATGAGAGCGAGGGAGACGGGCGAGATGTGGCGTGTCATTTTATTTTTCCTGCTTCGTTTTTGTGACGAGTTTAAAGACTCCTCTCTCCTGACCTTGTGTGTGTTTTTAACACCCAGTTTAGAGGCGCTGCAGACATGACATCATCACTTTGAATCCCCCCCCCCCTCAGGTCCACAGACACGGAGCATTATCTCCGGATGAGTCCACAGCGCTCTGTTAATGCTCGCCGTTCTTATCAGCTCTGCAGCTCTTGAAGTGTCATCTCTGAGACGTTCAGGGTGCGTTTCTGTTTTTAAAGCTCAGACGGGGTGATGAGAGTATTGTACTGTAGACTAAATTGAAGAGATGAAGGGGGTGAGAAACGGCGCAGGGACATCAATGGAATCGATTTACAATCCTCTTTATGTCGCATCAGAGACGCAATCACACAATCTCTGCTCGACACCAGTGTCCTCCTGATCGATACGAGCCGACCCTCACACCCTCGGCGTCCCCGGTAGAATCAACACAACACCTTCTGAATGTAAGGTCCTGTCACCCAAACGACTTCAATGTTCACCAGCCGAGAGGAAGAAACTTCAGTGTTCATACCAAGAAGTGTGTGTGTGTGTGTGTGTGTGTGTGTGTGTGTGTGTGTGTGTGTGTGTGTGTGTGTGTGTGTGTGTGTGTGTGTGTGTGTGTGTGTCTGTCTGCTGCCCCCCTCTTGGCTAGGACACTCTTTTAATGAGATTCTTCATCTCAGTGAGGTTCTCCTGGTTAAATACATTTCAAATAAATAAGAAGGCTGGGTTGACTGCGCTCACCACCAAGACCCGCCCGACCTCGGATAAGAGGATGAAACCTGACGGATGGTTGGATGGTTAATCTCATATTTCCTGTTCCTGGTCAGTGTTCATCTCTTCAGGTTCAGTACTTCAGAAAGAATCATGTCAGAGTGTAACAGATGATAAACCATGTTAAACTACTCGGCCCTGCAGAGAGAGGTGGACGCTCTCAGCACAGACAGGAGGAAGATGATGATGATGCTTTGTGACATTTGCATCATCTCCATCTCCAGGAGTCGTCAGTCAGGCAGAGTCAGTGACCGCAAACTGACAGAATGTCAGTCAGGTGCTGCTGGAACCACCATGCTCCTACTTTCCCCTCTGAACAAACATGTTGTTTTTTCACAATCGACAAAATCTATCGTAGTTCTTCCTCTTATTCTGCTCCGTCTGCTACACGCTAACATGCTAAGCCGCCGTGTGAGAACAGCACAACTGCTATTGAAACATTCAGGGTGAGTCCATATCTGTGCAGGATCATTTTAAAGAAACCTGCTGCAGGCAAACCATCGTTCCATGTGAGCGGCTCATCAGCTATTTTGCAGTTCAGGCATCATAAAACTTCCTAAAAGAGCACATGTCACTCCGCTGTTCATCTCCTTACACTGGCTCCCAGCTCGCTTTAAAACTCTGCTGCTCGCTTACAAAACAGCAACAAAAACGTCTCCTCCTTACTTTAACGCTCTCATCCAGGTCTACACTCCCCCCCTCCCCCCCATGTGATCTACAGAGTCCCTCTGCACCTTTAAGAAAAAGCTAAAGACCCAGCTCTTTCATGAATACCTACTAACTTAATGATGATGGTCTCCATATTATTGATGATGATGATGGTAATGACGATGGTTTTTGTTTGATAACGATGACTTATAAGATGGTTTCTATACTGATTAGAGCTCTCAAGAACTGCCCTCAATGTTGTGCTTTGCCTCTGGTCACTTCCTGTCAGCACCTGTGTGTCCAATCAGACTCAAAGCTGATCGTTTGCTCTTACTCACATTGTTCCCTTTTTTCTAGACCCTTGCTTGTGTTGTACTTACTCTCTTCCAGGAGGTTGAGGAGGGTTTTAACATGTTTTAAACCTATCGTCCAGACTCTTCTGACCCGGAGCCAATGACTTCTGCAGGGGTGGCCGAAAGCCCACATTTCTGATATTTTTCATCCAATCAGATGAAAAGTTTTGCAGTTTGGGGCTCAGATGGTACAAAACATGTGACAGAACAAAGAAACAGAACATTTTGAGACTATCTTTTTACAGGCCCACAGAGAGATTCACTCCCATGATTCCCAGCCAGCCTCGCCCCCTGGTGGCGGACTTTACATACAGCCCCTTTAAACCCCTGTAAATCATTTTCTGCACTTTGGTCCTTTCATTTTTATTTGACCTTTATGAAAGTTTAAAAATGATAAAGGTTTCACATAAAGTTAGTACACGGTGGTCTGGATTAATAATCTGATTTATTTCTTTTTAGAGGATATGTACTGAAACAAGACTTTAGTATGTATAAATAATGTTGGGGCGCCGGTTTAATCTTTGTGTCACTTTTGGATTGACACATTTCATTTGGACTAATTTGGGTCAAAATTGCAGCTGAATTATTCACGCTCTCTTCCATTAACGGCTTTCCAATCAGCTGGTGGACAGAAGTTAAGGAAAGGGGGAAAATCTGCATTTCAAAAAACACCAGATGAAACCACAAGACGAGTAGACCAGATCTACCCCCCCCCCCCCTCTCACTCTCTGTTACACAGAAAACAGACAGAAGGCCAACAGAAATATGTCGCTTGTTTGAAAGCTGTTGCGCTAATGGCATGGCGTTAATTAACCGACGGAACCTGCTCTTTCTGTGGACTAACACGAGAATATGCACGACATTTAGCTTCCTCTGTGCCAGGAGAATCAGCTGAGAGGAATCTGAGCGCACAGGCCCCTCTCTTTGTCTTTAAACAAACGTCTCATTTTGATTCTGTTTTTCACACCGGAGCATCTTTTCCCCCCTCCTCTAGTGTGCCCATCACAGGCAGACACATCGTGGTATGTATGGAGATGAGTGCACACCTCCCAGGAGACCGAGAGGATCGAGGTGTCACAGTCCATGAAGCCGGGCTCATCCACTCTGAACCCGTTTAACCAGCTGCAGTTCACCGCAGGTACCATATGGATCCTTTAGGGCTGAAAGCGACGGGGCTGATTTCCCCACAGCTACTGATTTTAGCATAAATGATCATCACCACTTTGATATACAACAAGTACACACCACATCGGTTAAGCCACGGGTAGTTAACTGTCATTGTGGTACGGATGGATGGCCCGAGCTGCGTTCCAGAACAGTGACAACATACGCTGCTCTGTGTTGCATTCAACGTTGCCAAGAACGACTGGAGGCATCTGTAGCTGCTCTGCATAGCTCAGATCCTCATCTGGTGCTCATGAATATCTATGAGAAGAATACCCAAAGACTACGGCTGAGGAATCAGGCTAATGAAGATGTTCTGCTGTGTTGATACTTTCTTTTTCTGCTTTATGTTTAAAAACAGGCTGTTAGTTTATCGCTATGAGACCACATCATTAAAGAGGAGGATCGATTCGTAAAGGTCACATATCCTCCTCCTCTTCTTCTTCAGTGTAAATAAGTCTCAGAGCTCCTCAAAACATGTGTGTGAAGTTTCTTGTTCTAAATCCACTCTGATCCTGTTTTTGATCATGTCTATAAACCCCTCTATTTCAGCCCTGCTCAGAACAGGCTGTTTCTGTGTCTGTACCTTTAAATATGTAAATGAGCTGTGTCTGACCACACCCCTCTCTGGAAGGGTTTGGGTGTACTTGATCTTTCTCGCTCCATGTCCTATTGTTTACAGTGAGAAGGCAGACTCAAAGGGCAGAACAAACACATAGCTGTGGCAGTGTCACGCACCTGAGGGAGGAGCTACTGCCCTTTGTGATGTCATGAAGGGAAAATCTCCAAACGGCCTGTTTGAGCACACATTTTCTTAAAAGTGGAGCAGGCGGAGAGGATGGACTTTACTCATCATTGGGGGGTTTGTAGACAGACTAGAGACACATATTAGAGTTAGAGAAACATGGTGAAGTGGATTTAACATCATGTGACCTTTAAGGTTTAAAACATGAACGTGTCTTTCTCATTAATAAATTATGTTTCTCCACTGGAATGAAATGTGATCAAGACGATGATGTCTTCAATGTTTTCGGTTCTCTTTGCCGGTGGAATGCCGCGCCCCTCGACTCATCGGGAACAAGGCCATGTTTTGGGTCTCTTTTTTTTTGCTTGGGTAGCTCCATCTGGTCCTGGCTCCGCGGCGCTCGGCCCCTGCCCAGTAGCTCTGCATCCCAACTATGTGTTGGCAATTAGCAGAGATGTTGGCAAGGTGTCAGGCCAGAGTGTGACATTCTCCCTGGGCTTGTTGACTGGCAGTGTGTGTGTGTGTCTGTGTCTGTAGTTATGGCTTTCTTTTCTTTGTCTTAATGAACACCTGCTCTACTCTAACAGACACAATATATACAATTACCACAAAGTTGAAAATGAATATATATTGTTATTATAAATACATTATTAAGATTATTTCATTGTGATGCAGATGAAGTTCAAAATCAGTCAAACATTTACAAATACTTTCATTTGAACTCTTGAAACTGTAAGTCATAATCTGTGAAGTATTTCTTTCAGTCTTTGAGCTCCAGGCTGAGCCTCTATTATATTTGGGGCGGCTGTGGCTCAGTGGTCGGTCGTCTCTCTACCGGATGGTTGGGGGTTTGAGCCCCAGCTCCTGCAGGAACATGTCTGATGTGTCCTTGGGCAAAACACAAAACACCCCGAATTACTCCTGCTTGATTTTTGATTTGATTTAGTTAAACAGCGTACAAGAGTTTCAAGCTGAGAAGATTTATTTACTGTTGTTATTTGTGCTCACAAACGTCATGTCAGTGCCTAAGTTTTTATTTTCCTCATGTTTTCTAGGTTTGACCTGGCAGGACGACCTCACACAGCAGGTCATCTCTAGAGAGCTCTCCAAACTGAGGAGCGTCCCTCGCCATCAGGCCACGCTATCGAGCCCTCTGGCCGCCCTCAGCAGATCCAGGGAGCGCAAACCGAGGCCCACGCAGGCCCAACTCAACGGACACCTGCAGCAGTACCTGACGGGTCTCGGCTTCCTGCAGCATCCTGAGGATTATGGACGACCAGGGATCCACGGAGAGGAAGACAACGTTCAGGTACGTCAAACACATTGGACCTGTGGATTGGACTGATGCTAAAACAGAACCATGCTAGCTGTTAGCAGAGGCAATTCAGAAAAGTCTTAAAGGGGCAGCGTCAGGTGAAAACGTTACCTAGTTACTACTGTCAAAAAGTCACTTTTTCCAGGCCTACAGAGACATTCACTCCCGAGATTCCCTGCCAGCCGTGCCCCCTAGTGGCTGACTTTACATACTGTACCTTTAAAATCGTCAGCCCATGTATGGAGGCTGTGGTCCTCCACGCGGGCGGCCCAGGTTCGAGTCCCACCTGTGGCTCCTTTCCCGCATGTCATTCCCCAATCTCACTCTGATATGAAGCCCAGCACACACGGCTGTCTGTGAGTAACCTCGCCCACTTGTTGTCGGCTGTTTCACATCAAGTAGCGAGTAAAAAAGGCGTATTGGACACGTGATTGAATCTGTAAAGTCACTGAGTTGTTACTAGTAGCTGCTAATAGAAATGGCATTAGTCCAAACACCGCTCTTCTGGGCATCTAGAAGGTTAATGGTTTGAAAGACGAGCAGGAGGCACAAACAGTCTTAAGAAGACAAAAACTAACCAGCTGCATTATGGGAAATGTAGGAACTTGTTATTTCCTCAGGTAGCCTTTATTTTAAACTGTCTGTGTGTTTTAATGACGTGTAAACAAGATGTAGCATGAAGTAAACAAAACAATGACAAACAACAAAAGAAAGGGGAAGGGAAGGAAAAAAAAAAGATACAAGCATACACTTGAATTACACACACTCACAAACACACACACATACACACACACACACAAACAAACAGGGCCCTTCAACACCCTCAACATACAAAGTTGCTAAACGTTATTATTATAACATTATACGCCCTGCTTGCCTGTTTTGTCTCTGTCTATGCTGTGCATTGTATCGTCGTGTCTCCTCTGTCTCCTACATACCATTGCTCTTGTCATGTCCCTCATTCATCTTGTATTGTTCTGCATCACCTAATAAAAAATAAAAAAAGTAAACAAAACAACAAAAACCAAACGTGGCTGCAGACTGGACGGGCCTCTTCCTGTCCCTTTAAAGAAGAGTCAGTGTGTCTTTCACCGGGCTCGCCATCTTTTCCCCTCCCTGCTTTTGTTTCTGGCTCTCTGTCTGCTCTCTCTCGCTCCTGCTGAGCGGTGGACCCTGCCTCACAAAGATCTCCCATCACCTCTTTACATTATTCAACCCTCATATTTAGGGTGGTGCCCCGGCTTTGTGTTGAAATAAGCTCCGCAACCTTCACAGCCCGCCCGCTTCCTTCTGCTGTGTCAGTGCAGCCGGAATGCAGAGTTGAAGAGTTCAGGACCTTCCTTATTGATGAGACGAGGTGCTTTGTTGTGTAGTGTGATGGAAAAAGGGCGAACATGGGTTAGCATGAATGTGCAGAGAACCCCCTGCCGCGCTGTGCTAATGCCATTATGGCCTCTCAGTATGCCGGGATGGAAAGACTGACATTTTCTCTATATACATTTGAAGGACAGAAAATGGCACCAGGGGAGATATCTACCATTAGTGGAGCAGCGACATGGATCATAATGCAGCTCGCTGGATGGGATTCAGACTGTGTGCTGAATGGAAGCGTGGGCTGAATGATTTCTCTCCCTCACAAAGAGAAAGGACAAAAATCTCCCATTTTGCAGCCAATATTAACTCTGACTATGATGCCAAACATGAAAAAAAGGTCCTCAAGATGTCTGTGTAACACGTAACTCTCTGTAACTTTATTTTGTCTCTTGGATAAGGGCGTGCTGCTATGTCTCCGACAGACGGGATGTGCCTTTAAAGTTTGTTGTGTTGTGGAGAGGCATGAAATCACTCTCTGACTGACACTATCTCATCTCTGATTTCCATAATGTAATTTCCAAGGGCAGTTGTCTTTGATCTGGAATCCTCATTCATATCCTGTCATGTCTCGGCGAGCCCAGGTTTCCTTCTCTTCTCATACTGAAGCGTGTCACAACACGCTGACCCAGCTAAAGAAACACACACACACACACACACACACACACACACACACACACACACACACACACACACACACACACACACACACACACACACACACACACACACACACTGCTGCAGAGCTGAAGCCGGGTTGAAGATGAATCATTTGCAGAGGCGCTGCTTGTCAACAGGAAAGGCAGGAAACTGCTGCCCCCCCCCCCCCCCCCTCTGAGGGCTCACAAACTTAAACCAACGCAGTCGTCCAAAATGTGCACATTTAGCAATGACAGTAGGAAACCTCCCTAAAGGGGCCCCATCTGACAGCGCTCACTCTCATCACCTGCTTAGCGTCGCATACATTATTGTTGCAGTGAAAACCAAAATGTGTCAATGAAAGTTTACAAATAATAATGAAGAGGGGGGGCGCTGGTGGCGCAGTAGTTAGTGCATGCGTCCCCCCGATTATGTAGACCTCCAAGCGGGTGGCCCTGGGTTCGAATCTGACCTGTGGCTCCTTTCCTGCATGTCATTCCCCTCTCTCTCTCTCTCTCTCTGATTTCCATCTCTATCCACTGTCCTATCTCTACATTAAAGGCACAAAAAGCCAATAAATAAATATTTTAAAAAATAAACCTGAAGAGGATTTATCTACAGGAGAGAAAGAAGAGGAAGAGAAATAAGAGGAAGAGAAAGAAGAGGAAGAGAAATAAGAGAAGAGAAATAAGAGGAAGAGAAATAAGAGGAAGAGAAAGAAGAGGAAGAGAAATAAGAGGAAGAGAAATAAGCGTCGGGCAGACGTCATGGAGATGTATGCCGGTTGGAGCTTCAGTTCGATATGTTTGTGGCTCAAGAGAAGAAGTCGGAGAACACCACATTAAAAAAGATCCATCCTCTTAGCACCACTTTGCTGCCAGTCCATCCTGTAGTTTAAAGGCTTTATATTTTTGATCCAGCAGATGTCGCCCTTGAGCACCAGCATGAAACCAAAACAACTGGCACTGCATTGTTGTGTTAGCATGCTAATGCTAGCAATCTTTCTTATGCTGGTATCTTCACACTGCATGTAAATTTACCTGAAATGAGCGTGATCTAGAAACACAGTTAAGCAGTGAGTACAGTATGTTATTCTTCTTTTCTCTAGTCCCTCAATTAAACAACTTTTATACACGAGGGGAGGAGTCAGCCGGCCGTCCTGGCGATGTAAACAAAGTGAAGATAGGACTCTGAAAACTCTGAAAACATCACAGACAGTGGGACTCAGGTGTTACACCCATTGTAGACAGTCATGACTCACAGAGTTATTTTCAGAGGAGATACTTGATTTCTACATTTAAGTGTGAAAAATCACAGATTAAGACTTTAAAGATGCATCAGAGATAATGGGGGGTTAGGGTCTTTGATTGTCTTCCCCTCCTCAGTGGTACTTCAGGTGTCCATCCTTTATGTGTTTAGATATTTAATTCTAGATCAGTTATCAAACCATCAGAAATCCCTAACATGATGTCTGACACTCTAAGTTTCTAAAAAGTGTTTTTTTCTCCCACAGAATGAAGACGTCAAGTCGAGCAGTAATTTGGAGCCGAGCCGATCCAAACCCCAGCAGGCCTGGAAGGAGACCACTTTGTACAGCCTCCATAAAGGAGACGGCAAACCTCCCGTCACCAAGGTCTTCACCAAGAGCGGGGAGGGCAGACACCCAGGGTTCAGCGCGCCCGTCTCCAAACAGGACCCCGAGAGGAGCAAGCTGCTGTCCAGCCAGCTGGGGCGCCTTCTCTCTGAAACACCGAGCGCCCAGCAGGCCAGCAGGGGCGGCGCGACCGAGTGGCCTGAAGGTAAAGTCCACTACCTGAGCTACGTCCGGCCTGCTCCCGGCGAGAATGCACAGCCACAGTCCAAGGTGGCGTTTACCTCCAAAAGCGAAAGGCCCAATCTAGACCGACTTCTGCTGAAGGCCGGATCGAACCGCCCGAACGGCAAAGAGCCGCTCGGTGTCATGGATGGTGAGCTGGTTTCAGAGATTTCACACACTGGCTTTGGGATTTGTAGCACAATATTCCTAATTGATATAATAGTCTTTTAGGTTTCAGGATGTTTTCTATGACTTCTTT